ATTGAAGAAAATCATTGTGAAATGTTCATTCGTTCATGATGACTGGCGTATGTACACAAAACTTGAAGCTAAGAAATCAGTTTTACGATTTTATATAAATCGGGTTAGGTAACAAGTAGATAAAAATATATATTTTTTAAATCATCTATAACCAACTGATTGTAAATAAAATTACATTATTACCAACTACTATTTATATTTAATACGTTTTAAAATACGGTTTACTCTTTATTCTGATAAATGTGGCGTAATGTTAATAAACATATAATAAGTAATGACAAGAAAGGAGTGTGATAGTCTATGATAGAGTCGTAGGGTGTCCTTAAAACTGTTAGTTACATGAGCCATAAAAATCTTATGCTGTTATTGTCATCATGTACATACAATACATATTATAATGTATTAACGATACATATATCTATGTATTACATTACATATTATGTATATACCTGTAGAAACACCACACAAGACAAAAATATACACACATTAATCATTCTGATTCCTGTCAATGAATAAACGGATATTTTTCTCTATTTATTTGGATATTTTGTGGGGAAAAAAAATTAGTATATATGTATATATAATATATATATAAACCGTTACGCCAAAAGGATCAGTGAAGGGTTATTTTTTAAGAAAATAGTTTTGCCAAATATCGCAGAAAAAAAAACGGACAAATAGAAAATACAAAATACACATCATTATACATATATCGCATATTCCATAAGTCGTTTTGAAAATCAATCTGTTTTTTTTTTGCGGGTTTAATTTTTTTTTTTTTGGCTTTTTTCCCGTTTTTTTTTTTTCTTTATTTTTTCTTTTCTTTTTTTTCACCAGTCGCAAATAAATAATTTCAGACAATAACAAATAGGTCATAGTTAGGTAAAAAAACACATACATTATAAGAGTTGCCGGGCAAAAATTTATTAAATTAATAGTTTTAGTAATCAAACTTAAAAAATATATTTTACTTTTACTTAAATTACTTTTGACCGTTTTTATCGATGCCTTATATATTGCTACTTTTTCTACGAGTCTGTCTCTATCACAGAAAAAATTATCCCCTCTATGATAATAAGCTTAATATTTCTAGAAAGATCGTTCCAAATCCCATATTTATTTGAAAACCACCAAATCTGACCCGAAAACACCAGACGTGGAAACACTGCACGTATCATATGCAGTAACGCCTGAAATCAGGGTTGTCAAGGAAAAATGTAGAATTGCGGTTACCGCAATTGGTCGGTCTTTGAAAATCCATTTTGAAAATTAAAATTTTCATCGTCAAAATCATTTTTTCGATTCTATTTTCTTATTAACCGTGGTTATATACCACTAGGAGGCCCGAACTTCGACGCCAATGAGTATTTTGCAAATTCGGTTAATATATTTTTTGTTATTAACAATGGACCTTCTAAGAAAAGAGATTTTCTTAGAAGGTCCGTGGAAGATCACTTTGTTGGAAGAACGTGGCGTTTTAGAGGTCTGGTTTTTCTTAAATTAAAGTTAGCTCACAACACAGTTAAGTAAATCGAAAATAACCAAAACTATTAATTCCACAAAAAACAGTTTATGGAAATTTCTTGAATTAAATGCAGTTCTAAATATAACGCAATAGAAATTTTTATTTTATTTAGGAGTCGTTCGCTTGGAAAATTAAAAATGTCTACCCCAATGATTTTTTGTACTATTGGCGGAAAACGTTGATCAGAAAATTACTAGAAACAATTTTTTGTAGAATGAAGCTCACTTTAATATACAGGGTGTTTGTAAAGTACATGATCCCATATAACTTGAGGGGGCGACTGTGTATGGTAAAGTGATGGTAGTTAGTAAGGAAAGATGTACCTAGTGCTTGTGCCAAATATGAGGCTGATGGCAATTAAATTAAAAATTAGTTAAAATTGAAATTTGACAAGCGGCAAAAAATTTTCCACACTAACTACCAAAAACGTGAACACTAAAACGGCTCTTTCTTCGAACGAAATGTAGATATATTTGTTCTTAGGAATTCAATTGGTAGTAAAAGGAAATAATCGAATTTGCAAGACTTATTGGTGCCGAAATTCTGAGGTTTCTAGTGTATCTCCGCCACTGGTTGACATATTTGTAAATCAATCAACTTAGCGGGTCTTTACTTCTATGTGGGTAAATCAGGGAACCTAGGTTTCATTGGTCTACATCAAATATCTTCAGAGATATTTCAGAAAATACTTTTCGAATTTCTCGAAAACGAAACGAGTTTTGCTTTTTGTTCTATCGCACTCATTTGAGATTGTCAAGGTAACTGCGTTTTTAAGTTAAAATGAATTTTACGTATGTATTTTTGAACATTTCCACCGCATTGTCTAGTTTATATTTTCGCGTATGTTGTAAATGCGAAGTGACTTAAAAAGATTGCAGCCCGTAATCGTAAGACGGCGGACGGGCTGGCACGCAGGCCAGCAGCACCGCGCCGGAGAGGTGCACCGTAGAGACCAAATTTCCCTTAAAACCTATTGATTTTCCGTGCGGTGCGGATCGTGAGTCACTCCGGGCCGAACGACGCCGCCACCGTGTTTGGAGAAGGAGAACGAGAGAGAGGAAGCGCGAGGATTCGCGGACGCACACAGGGCCGACCGTGACCTGGCCGGCAACAAGGAAATGCGTTACGCACGCACACGCGGCTGCGTCGGCCCCCGAGCGCCCTGAGTGACGTGCTCGGGCGCAGCACGACGCGTCACGAGCGCCCCGGCCCGCTACAGGCATATAAACAACAATATTTACCTTTCCCCGTCCGGAGCTGACGAAAAAAATCCGCGGGGGATTGTTTCGGAAATGAATCGAGCCACTCGAGATTTTCGCCTAATGCGCTGTAATAAAAACCAACTGAAATCTTGCTGAAAGTCGGCCACATATAAATAGGTACTCGTTCGTTACCAAACGAAGGCAGTAGAGGGGGGAAAATGAGGTTCGTCGCGAAATGTTAGTTTCGAAAAATGAGTTTTAAGGTTTGAAGACTTCCTGATTCTTAAGGTATTGGAAAATTTACATAAACACCAGCCGTTTAGCATCGAACGCCAGGCACTGCGGCACTGTTATAAATAAAACATTCACACTTTTGTTTTCGTATGTTCTATCAGCATATAAAAATGTCCCATAGAAAAGCACATTAGATGTCAATTCTTTGAAAATTATGTTTTTCTTGCATAAGTCAAAATATGACGTTTCTTATAAAAGTTTTAAAATTTTAACTAACTTATGCAACACCTGTTACATACTTCTAAATACTTAAAAAGCATTTTAGTCGTTAGTTTACTCTCATAATATTGTATTGGTGTAAAATTTATGCAGTCGCGACGCTGGGGGGTGTGCTCGATTTTGGAGAGTCCAACCGGTATTTCTCTTCCCCAACCAATTACACAACCTTTTAAAAGCAATATATTTAATTCTGAGAGATATGAGATTACAAATAATATGAAAGTTAATATGTACTTTAACAGTTCTGGCACTTCTACAAGATTTTAGTATTTCCATGGAATGAATAAATTGCGTATTATAGCAATGATAATATCTTCCAGTGCAAGTTGTGATGGATCTTTTAACGATCTAAAGATAATTTTAAAAATTATTTAAAAATAATTATTAATGTAGGACTTAACATTAATTTTAATATTTTGCATTTTGTTGGCCAAAATATTTAAAAGAATTTATTAAATATGTGCTCATGCCCATGCAATAAAATTTTCTGCCAGTTTTCACCCAACTGCAAAATAGTGCTAACGCCGCCACTGATTTTAGCAAATGAGACAGCAACCAAAGGTTATATTCATTTAATACTATGTATGTATTTCAATAAATAATTTGTATTTACTGTGATTACATCAAATTTTTAAAGTATGATGGGTTAGTTTAGGCAAATGTTAAATTAATTTTTATAACGGATATATTTTAAATAATCTAAAAATAATAAAATTTCATTTCATAGACAATTATAGATGTTTAATAAACGTGATGTAGATTAATGTGTTTTTGGGATAGTAATTAAAAATTATATTTATTTAGACAAATAAAAATATATACAGAACAGAATAATTAATCAAGCGAAAAACAGGAAATAAAAATTCATTGCGGCAGGGCAGGTTTAGTATTGGGCATTTTTTAAATTATGCGTAATAATGGATTTTCGCCCATTGTCCATTAAATTTCTATTGCGTAATTGGACGGAATGGAAACGTATGTTTATTGTAGCAAGATAACTGTTTAAAACAATATTATACCTATAAGTATATTTATTACGATTTTTATAAAAAGAAAAATATATTGTCAAAACAAATCGGTAAATAAATTATACGCAATATCCCCTTTATTAGAATTTATCTTTTAGATATTTGCCATTTTTCCCCTGACGTGTGTGTTTTTAAAACACGAATATTGGCGAGTGTGATATCTTTCTACGGCGAAGTTTCTTTCATAACAAAATATAGAAATTTGTCTACTAGATGGCTGTACGATATATTATCACGAACTTTCTTCACCCTCGTGATCTTCAAATAAATACACTTTGGTTGGTTTCGGAAGAAATTAATTTTTAATTTAAAATTATACCTAGGTAAAAATTTGCCTTTAAACAGTGATTTTTACATATGCTTACATATTTTTAGTCTGACGCTCGATGAAACGTACCTACCTACTTACTAATTGATTCTTTTTCTTTCCAGATATTATTTTTTATAAAAGAGAATGTACAAAGGATAATGCTATTTTTATACGAAACATAACAGTACAAATACACGAGAGTACAAATACCCCGTCACCTCATCTCAGTGAAAAATTCAGGATACCACAATGACAATAACGAAATTTCCCAATCAATAGAAGTACAGTTCCACCTAGCAGCAGCCCGCCGAAGAACGCAACAGCCACCATTAGAAATGCTGAGTTAGCGATGCGCCGCAAATTATGAGTGAAACACTAAGTCAAGACCCAGACGGGCTTGGGGCGGCGTACACCACCCTGGCGCCGTCCTATCCTCCCACGCCGGCCACTCCGAGTTCCACAGTGCAGGACGTACCCTCCGGGGCTAACCTGCCACCTTTTTCCACCTTCTCCTCGGATATGGACTCCAGTGGAGCGTTCAGTTCGGTATCGGACCGGTTGTTCAACGACACCCGCCTCCTAGACATATCAAACTGGGACTATTACACCGAGACCAGGCTGTTGGACAGGGGCGAGAACGGTCTGTCCATTATCACCTCTCAGCCGCAGTACCGTCCTTGGGAGTCAAAGCCTGTGGACGCGGCGACGTCGTCGTATTCGGTCACCACGCCGGTAAACACGTTCGCCGACGCCTTCGCACAACAGAATGGCGCCTCCAAGTTACCCTCCTTTCAGTCGCAGTTCCAGACTTTCAACGATCCCGTGACGACCAGCGAACCCACCTTGACCACCCTGACGAACCTCACCCCCATATCACCAAATTCCTCTTCTAGTCCAAGCCACAGCTTAACCACTCTCAATTCCAATTTTCACACCTTAAGTGCTGTTAACCCGCGCTATCCCCTGGTGCCCGCTCCAATCCAAGCCAGAGAGATCCCTTCGATCCAACAGCAGTTTTTGGACGAGAGACACATCCAACTGTACTCCCATCCCCCGACCAACATAGCTCTGAACAACACCCTGCACCCTGCTACCTTTCTCAACAGCCAGAACGGTGCCATAATCCAGAACAATCAGTTGATCTCCTCGCCGACGGTAGTTACTGTGTTAAAATCCGAATCCGATATCAAATTAACCACCAACCTTTCCACACTCCACCACCAAGAGTCGTTGAAGCTGCAGAACGTGGGTTTGCATCCCACCCAGTTCCAAAACCCCATGACTCAGATCCAGAACAGTGACAGTGGTCTGTACAACGGTATCGAGAAAAAGATCAACGGCAACCTGACGTCGCCGACGAGGAACGACTTCCGTAAGAAAGAGCGCAGGAAAATGCGGGCCTCCAGCCTGGAGAGCAGCGTCGACAGCGACGGGGCCTCCAGTAACATGGAGATCGGGTCGGAGAATTCGGGTCAGGTGGCAGCCATCTCCAGCACGGCGGGCTTCAAAGCCCACCAGATGCACGTGAATAGTTCGGTAGACATGGACACAGACATTAGTGGCGGAAGCGTGGACAAGCAGGTGAAGAAGAAACGGAAACGATGTGGCGAATGCATCGGATGCCAGCGGAAGGACAATTGCGGTGATTGTGCTCCGTGCAGGAACGACAAGAGCCACCAGATCTGCAAGCAGAGGCGGTGCGAAAAACTTACGGAAAAAAAGGTGAGTAGTAAGTAGACGTCGAGCGTAGTTTGTAGATTTTGTCTCCACATTACAACCGCAATCCCCAATTTTATGTCTGAAAATTCTGTGAACAAGTTGGGGGTTTAGTCGCATACGTACAATTTGAATAACTAAATTTTTTAAATAACTAATGAAAGGAAATATGTTAATACTTGCATTTTCTTTATATATTATTGTTTTTTACTGACAATTTTGCTAAACTAACTAATGAATTAAATGTAGATCAATGTGAACATTTGAAACTAAAAAGAGCATAGGTATAGAAAAATCAACTTTCCACATGATATACTGTAGATAAACTGTTCATAAATTACGCTTTCTTTTTAATTAAGATTTAGATCAAATAGAGGCCTGTTAGTTAAAACGTACCTATACCATACATGTCGATATTCTCCTTTGTGTCATTTCTGAACCTCGACACTTTTAGTGACAATAATTTATTTAATTTAGTTGCCTTATGAAATCAAAATTGTAATTTTTATTTTTTTCCACATTTCTTCCCAAATATCTTAATATTCCCAAAACTTTCATAATTATTGCAATATTTTGGAAAAGGTTTTCAAATTTTTCGTTATTAAAATTCCCTTATTCTAAAAATTTTTCAATTGACTACCTGGAAACAAATATGTTTTTATATCACGGGTAGCGTAGTCGATCGAGCATGGGGTGGCAAGCATTTCTCGGCGTCGACACTGGCAATGTCGATGGGTAATGGGCGTTTGTCCGCGTTTTTTCAATAATAGTAGCCCCCTTCCGCACAGCCTTTGGCTTTAGATTTGGGGATTTGGGGATTTGTCCCATTTCTGTGGTGTGTTTTATGTTTATAGTAGGTATATGTATTTCTCAATTAATATTATTTGTTTTGACTAGTAGTAAGTTAAATAAAATAATTACGCCAATGATTTTTTAAAACATTTGGACAAATAGTTTTATAATTATTTATTTTACAATTAAATGGTTAACCCATTATCCTCAGAGCATAATTTAGGAAATAATTTACAGGGTGTGTGTTGCGCTTAAATGTGATACAAGCCTGTAACTTCTTTATTTTTTGACCGATTTCAAAATTTTAATTTTGGAATGTGACTATCTCACTGAGATACTGCCGGTTTTATTAATGCAATTCACGGCCAACTAGGACGCGTTTTCTTGACATCAAAACAGCTGATTGGTATCAGCGATTTATTTTTCAAAAAACAGATTACGTATTCTCATTCAGCATCCCTTAAAGCGTCTTACCACCAAGTTTCATCAAAATCGATACATCTTCAGGCGAGCACTCCATGATGTTGCGAAATGTAATACAAGCCTGTAACTTCTTTATTTTTTGGCCGATTTAAATTTTTTTTTGATGGAATGTAGGGTAAATAAAACTATGTAACTGTGAATACTTTTGGTTTTTTATTAATGCAATACAGGGCCAACTTGTGCTCGTCTGAAGATATATCGAATTTGATGAAACTTGATGATAAAGACATTTTAAGGGATGCTGAACGAGAATACGTAATCTCTTTTTTGGAAAAAAAATCGCTAATACTAATTAGCTGTTTTGACGTCAAAAAACGCGTCCTAGTTGGCCGTGAATTGCATTAATAAAAACAGCAGCATTACAGTTAGATAGTTTTCTTTATCCTACATTCTGAAAAAAAAATTGAAATAGGTCAAAAATAAAAAAGCTAAAACGGACTGGTATCACATTTAAGCGCGAGTTATCAATCCTGACAAGATGCTGACTTTGCAACCCTTGCAGTTTCATTGTTTGACCAGTTATTGTCTAGAGGTAATACAGAGCTCATACCTTTAAGATTATTGTATTCATTTTGACTTTAATTCATCGATACTTTTGTGAAAGTTTTTAAATAAAAAGAAATTTTGTTTTTAAAAACTAAAACCGCTCGGCACAAAAGTTATCTCGCGACACCCTGTATATTTTTTAATTCGTATAGCCAAAAAAAAAAGCTCAAGACCATGGTTCATTATAGTTTTCCATCTTGTCCAAGAAACAACCTCTTGGTAGTCATGATATGGATTTAGTACACCAGTATAATATTACAGGATTATTTTGATAAATTAAAATTACATTATTTTTTAAAAATATGACAAAGGAATAATTTTTATAATGTTTATCTCAAATTTTATTATATCAGGCAGAGCGCACTATACCATAAACAATTTTTGTTAATATTCCTAACACCAAAATTACTAATGACATTTATTAGAAGCATGGCTACTGGAGCTCTATTGGGCCAATCAGAGAAAACTTTCTCAACGCGCCGCTAGAGGGCATTTTACCTAAAACTCAAAATTTGTTTTGTTCATAACTTTTTTCCTTGCTAGACGTCACAGAAATTTAAACATTATTGAAAAGAGATACAATATCAGAAAAAAATATGTACTCTTTATTCATGCCGATAAATATAACCGTTTAGCAGGAGATCTCTATTAAAGTGTTCATTAAACATCAAATTTTTGATAATTCTTTTTGCAATTAATCAAGTTGCCATGCTGTAATACCTTCTCTTGTAAAACCAGCTTCGTTAATTAGTACATAAAATATTAGTAAATTCATTATCCTCATCTTATTTTTCCATTATGCTATTACAGAGCCAAAAAATATATATATATTATGGTGAAAAATTAAACTTATACCTCCTTTAAATAATTTTCAATTTCATAACACCAAAATTACTAATGACATTTATTTGAAGCATGGCAACCTGATTAATTACAGAAAGAATTATCAAAAATTTGATGTTTAATAACACATTAATAGCGATTTTCTGGTAAACGGTTACATTTATCGGCTTCAATAAAGAGTACATAATTTTTTCTGATATTGTTTCTCTTTTCAATAATGTTTAAATTTCTAGCAAGAGAAAAAAATTATGAACAAAACAAATGTTGAGTTCTAGGTAATGAAGTGCCCTCTAGCCGTGTATTATGAAACTTTTCTCTGACTGGTCCAATAGAGCTTCATCTAATTCTATTTAGTACTTAGTGAGTGTGCTAAATGAGAGACTAATCGAATTTGAATTAAATAAGTTATTTAAATAGAAAAATAAAAAAATTGAACTTTGACAATTTTGTAAACAATTGACAATTGGAAAAAAAATTATCATTACATACTGCTATTATTTTAATTCGTATAGAAACACCTCCCGGAGTTTCCTGACGGACTTTCAGAACACTCTGTATATTAAGATTTAGCTTGTATGTCATATATTTCGGTTCCCAAAATTCTCTCTTTCTGTGTTAGTCTTGTGAAATTGTTTGCGCATATTCTTTACGTCATAAATATCAAAAAAATAAATAGTATCCGGTGAAAACTGACATTCGCAGTAAAAGATCTCCGGATCTCCGTAGACGTTCACTAGCGGCAATAGAGATGCAGCGCTAACGATTTCTCCAGGCCCATCGCGGCTCGCGAGGCCCTTTACGCGCTTTAGTTGTTGCAGCGGCAGTGGAAGCAGCTAGGACGAACCACCCCTAGCGCGGCACACATGGACCCGCCCAATTATGCCCCGGCAAACGCGTATGAATGCGTGTGTAATGCGACGACAACGTATTTTCTGGGTTCGCAATGTCGGCTCTGCCGAAATCATTTCTGCTCGCTTGATAGGGATTTTCATTACCTCCGACTAAGTATATGGAATGTCCACCGGCCAGAACGAGTCACGAAAGTTGCTGATATTGCAACTAGAAAGTCACTATTAATAGACAAATTTCGACTATTTTCAAAATGAACGATGTCACCGTCTGGGTGGAGTTGAGGTGTCTTAACGAAGGTGTCGTCGCACTCAAGGGGGAATCGTAACGATAATAATCAGGGCGTTTCTAAAATATGGTGACTAACTGTAACTGGAAATAGCAAATGATATTATGAGCAAAGAGTTTTTACCCAACGTGGGTTTGAAAACGCTTAGTCAATTACAGGATGGTGAAGGTGCACTTCCAAATACACATAATGTTCAAATAACTCCAAAACGAACTTATCAAATTCAAATTAAAGCATTATCTACAGGATGAGCCACAATTTTCTTTCAGACATAGGTGTAAAAAGTCATGCCGAACCAGAATATGTAATCAGAATTGAATTTTGAAGAAAGTTGACTAAAATACGATTTTTTTGTACTTTTCTTCTTTCGAAAGTTATATAGGCTCATATTACAAACTCTTTGACCAGTACTTATTTATTTATTAACCTTGAATATTTTAGTCGCATTGGATAACATTTTTAATTATAATTACCAGAGCTGGGTAATTACTTGTAATTTAAAAATAGTTACAATTACAAATTACTTTTTAAAAAAAGGAACTAATTACAATTACAAAGTATATTCTTTAAAAAAGGAATTATATTAATTTAATTACAGTTACATGGAAAATGGATTTAGCAATTACTTTTCTAATTACTTTTATGATAAAGTAAATTATAGTGACCAAACAGAGAAAAAGGAAAAAGTTAAGTTAAAAATTTAAATTAAAAGTGTTGTGTAATATTGCGTTTTATTATTTATTAGAATTGATACTAAAATGAAAAGATTATTCTTATTCATTTTCTGATATAGAATTTTTATATTTTTATTCCTAATCTAATAATTTAAACTAGTTCAGTTCATACTATAATTTTATATTATTGGTCAGGTAATTAATTCAACCCGATGCTCTTTTTTTTGGTTGTTAGTACATTTGCAAAATATAGAATACAGTAGTTTTGGGTAGACTGGAAAGCAATAATTATTATTAAAAAAATTACGAATCGAACAAGTACGAGTGAAAGGCTGAGTAACCGAACCAGAAGTTTTCTCAACTCAAAATAAGAGCAGTAACACATAGATACATAATATATATTTTTATAAAACTTGATGCTATAGACAACATATTTTTACTTCGTATATTTTCTAAATTAATAATAATTATAATAAAATAAAATGTACTCTGTTAATTCTGAGGTTAATTCAAATCACTTATTATTGTTC